GGCATGATGACAGTATTGTTTTTGGCCAAAAACAATACTGTCATCATGCCTCAGCCACCGTATTCACCAGACTTGGCCCCCTTCCAGTGAGAAATAACAATGGAATCGACATCGAATCGATATCGATTCGACGTCGAAATCATCGAATTGACGTCGAATCGACGTTGATTCGACATCGATTCCATTGTCATTTCTCACTGGGCTGCGACTTTTTCCTCTTCCCAAAATTGAAAAGGCCCATGAAAGGACGAAGATTTGCGACGATTGAGGAGATTAAGGCTGCATCGCTGGAGGAGCTCAAGGCAATACCCAAAAGTGCATTTCAGAAGTGTTTTGACGACTGGAAAAAGCGCTGGCACAAGTGCATTGTATCAGAGGGGGATTATTTTGAAGGGGATAACATAATTTTGGATGAATAAATGAATATTTTTTTATAAAAATGAAAAGTCACCTTACTTTTTGATCACACCTCGCAGATCAATTTTTGGAGTGCTTTAGTTCTTTTCATTTACTAGTCTTCAATTTACGCTCGAAATAGGTCATGACTCACTTAACTTTTTAGATGTTACAATTGCTACTAATGGTAACCAACTAAATTTTGATTGGTATCAAAAACCGACCTTTTCGGGGAGAATTCTAAATTTTTTTTCAATCATCCCCTCTCACAAAAAAGAGGAATAATCATTAGTTTAGTAGATAATAGAGCTCTTCTACTCTCGAATTCAGAACATCATAATAAAAATTTAACAAAGATAATCGAAATATTATTAGTTAATGAATACTCTCTAAAATTCATTTTTGAAACAATAAATAACAGAATCAAAAGCATTCTAAGAAGGAGGATAGTATCGTATAATGACTTGGAAGAAAAGGACGAATCATCAGTGTCCCCATCTTAGTTCACAGTTCCTTTTATTCCAATATTAACGGATAAATTTAAAAAATTTAATAGAGATGACATCAAGGTTTCTTTCTATGTACAGTAGGAGAGACCGGGGACAAAAGTAACATTTTGATTTTGAAGTGTTATAACAGTTAAAATATAATATTTACATTAAAAAATATATACCTTTAAATGTAGAATTTATTTAGCTACAAAATTTTCTTTGATTCAATTTTTCAGTGTAACTAGAAAAAAAGTTATGTTTGTTTAACTATGAGGAATTTTGTTACAACCGTCCCAACCCCTGGAACGATTGTAACAGTAGAGAGGGACAATTGTACCATGTTAGGTATTATTTGATTAGCCCGCGCGCTCTATTTAGTTATAAGTCCCTAGATGCTGCGGCGACAATTTGGTCGTTCACGTTGGAGCGCCAAGTGCCCCTTGCACGCGCGATAGCGACTGCATATTAGAATACCTTTTGTCTCACACCAGAGAGACTGTTGTTGCGGCAATAAATAAGCTTTATACCAATTTGAGTTTTATTTTCATTGCGAAAAAATCACAGATGCACTCCACAAGCACATTCACACCATAGATAAAAATAGCGTACTCATACGCGCGCGACGCATGTCGCCAAGGAAAGTTTCCTTAACAGTACCATACTAATTATAAATAAAATAATGGTTATTTTACTGGTTTTATTAATAAAAATACATAATAAAGAAAGGCTTAAATAATTCAAATAAAACAAAATATAATCAGAAGAGCTACGAGCCAAAACAAAACAAATTTTAATGTACATATGATACATTAAAGTTGACATTAAGTAAAATAAAAATAAGAACAAAATAAAAATATGTCTACATCAAATTAAATATATGTCTACATCAAACTAACGTTTCGACTACCTTCGGATCATTTTCAAAGTTATAAACAAGTATGTATATGAAAGCGGTTGACTACAATAGATTAACATAGATCACTAATTATAGAAGTACAATAAAAATTATTAAAACTAGACCTTCGTTGTTCAGGCCTGATTTCAGTTATACGTAGTCGACGGAAGGTAGATCCTGGATTTACGCCAAACATTCAAATGAGTATCCAACAATGAATGTAGTTGTCAAAAAATAAATCCTGTATATACGCCATGGTTCGATTACGAAAAGTATTCGCCAAATATAGAAAAGTCGCCGATAATGCTATTAAGTAAGTCGAAGTAACAGTCCTTCTTACAAAATCCAAATTTTACAGTATAAAATTGAATAACTGATCCCAGGCATCGATATTACTATTGTCCCCTAATGGTATTTTACGATTCATAGTAAATTTTTAAAATAAAAACCTAGATAAAAATCAACTCAAATGTAAAAAACATCAACACAGATAATCATTAAAACATATGAAGATAATACATTATACCTTTGTTATAAAGAAAAAAAATATTTTAAATTTTGTGCACGCAATAAAAGTTACTTGATACATGAAAAAAGTAATTTCTGCTTCTGCACTCGTGCACATTCCGCGAAAATCAACATGTAACGAATGATTCAATGCCTATCTGTTTATAGAATTTTATCACGCAGCCACATACATATATTTGTCATAGTTTAAGAAATATTGACGATGTTACTATTGTCCCGTGTTACTTTTGTCCCCGGTCTCCTCTACGAACAAATAAAAAAAATACAGTAAAGTACATAAGGACCCTTACACATAAGGGCATTCGCATAATCAACAGCTATATAAGTAAAGGAGATGAAATTAATCAAAAATGTAATTATTTTAATTGTTTGTATTTTAAGGAAAAAAAAATCCAGAATTGTATACTGAGAGAAAGGATTTTGTTAATTTAGCAAGCCACCAGTACCTTTAAGGCGATGCTAAAGCCTCCTGTTTTACTACATTTCCATTCGGTGAAAAATCTCCGTATTGGATGTATGGATTGCAAAAGTATTATTACTTAAATTAAAGTACGCACAAACAGGACCTCAGCTGCACTGGATTTTATGAGAAAATAAAAAAAAAGTTTAAAATTCGTTAAAAATTCACTTACTTTTGGTTCGTACAGCTGTCACCTCAGATACATATTTGCTTGATATAAGAGTTTTAGAGTCCATATCTTGAAAATAAGCGTGCAGCTGAGGTCACATTATTGAAACGAACGATACCGAGTTTGTAGAACTAAGATTGAAAGTCTAGAAAAGAAATATTTCCACCGAATAGAAAATACGTGTATACAGGTGCTTTGCGAAGACTGGGACTGTCAATAGAGCCGAAATTCCGTGTAGCAGTAGTTGCGTGGTCTTGCAATAAGATGGTACCGGCATATGTTAGATAAGGACAGATGTATGCGTTTGAGTAAGACAGAATGATATATATTATATAATATAATGTAAAAACTGAATCAAAGATGTCACCACTATTATCGAATTTGGAATTAAAAAAGTCTGTACTATTGACCTTGATCGAGTTGCGTAATTGGTTTAGCATCCCCTTAACCGGTGATCGGTAAATATGTGACAACAATTAATTATGTGTTGTGATTGCTGCTAGTCTGCTAAACCAACCAATTATTAGTAACAGAAACAAACTATATAGAATCTAACCTATCTTTTGGATAGACTTTAGCACGTTTACATAGAATTCGTAGATGATCGTGGAGTCTTAAGTCGTAGGAAACCAACCAAGCACAGTCAAATATAAGGAGAATACTTGATTAGAATTAGTCAATTTCTTACGATTTGAGACCGTGCACGACTTATATATATAACCATCTACGACATATATATATATATATATACATATACATATATATTTATATACATGAGCCTCTTATTTGTTAGCGATACTATTTGTTACATTGACGAATTAATTTGCAATCGTAACAAATCGATCGTTTTTTTAACAAGTATCACAAACATTTGCATTCTCTTGATTTGTTCCTATAACAAAATCATTTCTCTCCATGTATGAGAACAATTTCAATATCTTTATAGCCATATATGTTCCTATTATATTGCAAATTTAATAACTTAGATAAATGTAAAAGTTAAAGTTAAAAAGTATACATGTATATTTTTAATTCTATTTTATTAACTTACGCGATTTTCTGTTTACTTCTACAGCATTATAATTTTAAAAAGTTTGTAATTCTGATCGATTAAGTTGTTTTTATCAAGGAAAAGTCGGTATTTTATTTAAATTAAAGTTTATTATTTGTATTAATGTACCAAATGAAAGAAAACCATAATATATTTATACATATATGTTTTTATAAAAAATGCTATGCAATGTAAATTTTAACATATTAATTATATTTCGGTTATTTTTGTATTTACTATTTTGCGGATTCACTATACCCATAATCATGCATATGCTCTTGTTCAGATTTTAAAAAACATACGGCAAAAAGGAACGCTTTTTTACATTTTTCTGTAAGATCTTTTGCTGGAATAAAAGAAAAATAAAATTAGTATAAGAAAAAGAGTAAAATAAATATGTCATATTCTTTCGTCATTTATTGCAATGTTAAAATAGCTAGTTGAATGTATTAAAACTTATTAATAATTAATATTGTGAACAGTTTCACTGAACATGATTATATATTTATCGAGATCTGGATTACCTTACATAACACGATTATAATATGTATAACTTACATTCGTTTATGCAATTTTCCAGCCTTTCCAATCTTTTATCTCCTGGTTGAATATTTGTTTTCTCAATGAATGTGGTATGCATTTTTTCTACCTTATATTCTGCGTCTTCCATCTAGTTTACAAGGAAAGTTTATAAAATATTAATTAATAATATGTTTACATTAAATTGTTTTTAAAATGCGTATATTATGTTTTATATTAATTTTTTTAATTGGATAACGTGACAATATATAAAATCATTAAATTACCAATAAAATTAATAATTCAAAATTAATTTTAAAATAAATTTTTTAAATTTTAAACAGCGACATTTAAATAAAAGTCGTTATGACCTAAATTACATTTTAATGTTTATAATATTTTATTATTTTAACGATTCCAAACTGAGATGCTTTTTAAAAGAATAAGAAAATAATAAAAATTACTTACTAATCCATTTTTTTGAAATATACATTGTTGGACACAACCATTCTTATTTAATTTTTCTTGATTTTCGGATTTGTATCGATCATGTATTAAGTCTTGTATTGTTATCATGTCATCTAGAAATTTAATTTTTGGAAAATTTAAATTTTGTATCTATGTAAAGAATTACAAAATTGTGTTTATGTTCTAAAAAATATTATAAATATGCAAATGTGTTTTAAACCTTTTTTATGTGTATTTGCGATAAAATTGTCTTTTTCTAAGTATTTAAATTATCATGTATATCATCTTTTATGTATTAAAGTATTATATATTATGTATTAAGTATTAAAGTTCTCCTAGTTTTTGGAAAATATTTAAAATGACAGTATATTTATTTGAAATAAGGCTGTAAAATACATAAATTATTAATTAAAATAAATCATTTCCTTAATTTTTGTTTTAAATAGTCTTTAATAACTCTTATTTTATAAAATATTAATATTTTTATATTCAAAACATTAACAAAGTTTACTTAATGTTACAAAAATTGATTTTCAGTGCAGTGACACTATATTGACCATTATTAAATGAGAAGGAGAAAACAAATTTTATACAGTTTTAATTTATTGAAATATTCGATAAATGAAAGTACCGTTGGTGTTAGCGTTATTTAGCAAAAACGAAAAGATTTCATAGTATGATTTAAACAGTGTTTTATGTGTGCGTGCGCGCGTGTGTGCTGTGAATACGCGCTCGGAGAGAGACTTACCCTCAGATACATTAGTTTCAGTTAGGCAGGTATTGTAATGCTTATTGGCGGATCCTAATTTCTTTGAGTCAACAGTAAAAGACTAAAATATATAAAATTTTATTTTTAATTAATTTTTTCTTGTTATTTTGATTAAGCTGTTTCTATATGCAGTACACACGCGTATATATGTTATTATCCCAGGAAACCACCCATGTAACTTAACTGTAGATATAATATTACATTAGTGTCAGAATGTTACATGCAATATTATTATTTGTAACGATTAATATTATGTATCGGTACGGCTTTATGTCACCAACTTTAAACATATTATTTTTATATTAGAAATGTATCAATAATATATTACTACTATGTAGTATAAACGTCTTCTTCACATATTTCAATATGAATATACAAAATATACTCAAAATAAATACAATAATGATAAAAATGTACGCTGTATGAATAGTAAAAAGTGCATGAAAATAATGTAGCATCATATAACATTAAATTTTGAACTTGATCATATGTAATTTACTGGGCTGTGTTTGGAGAGACATTATTAGAACTGTTTGTGTCATTCCATTTATATTGTTTATTAAATGTAAAACAAAGGAAAGAATGACACAAAAAACGCTAATAGTGTCTCCTCAAATGCATCCCTGACGGCTGAAAATAGGATAAATTCAATGTATATCTGTAGTACGTATTTTATACTTATTAGTCGTATAAAGTTCGTTAAGTTGCTTAAAGATTATAGTTGTATTCATGTTATGTATATTGAGTTATGTGTATGTTATATTACAATTTTAAGTGATTGTTATATTGATATAACGTAACAAAGAAACATATCTTTGTTCTTCTAATGTACCCTCAAAATTATATGATATTTATATATCGTCTCTATAACCATGAAATATATCATTTTTCTTTCTATGTACTCTCTAAATTATATTACGGTTACGTTTTTGTTTGCTGTGATCTGTTAATTATATTTATATGTAACAATAATACAATATAAAGGTTATAATTGATTTATAATTAAATTGTAAGAGAACTTTTATTATGTCTCTAGAAACATTTTTAACCTTCTATTTATATTTAATTTTTATGACAAAAAATACTTACAACGAATGCAAAAGTGCAAATATAAACTAATATTTTCTTCATTTTATTGACTTAGTTAGTCTACACTATCTCTAAATGTCGTACTAAAGTGTTCTGAAGCATACTATCATCGTATTTATATCGTCTGTAATAAAAAAGTGGATTGATTAGAGTTGCAAAATCACAGGTCATATAAACATGAAGTACAAACACAAAAGAAAATAGAATGATATCCATTACTAACACAAACTCTCATTATTGCAAATATAAGTTGCATATGCCTTACGCATGTGTCTCATATGTTTATAATTATCTCATTCTTACTGCTTAAAAATGTATAATTATTCTTTTAATATATATGTTACGTCAGTGAATCAGGCGTTTGTGTTTATCTCCACTGTATATTCTAGAATATGTCCAGTTTTCTAATGATTAGTGTAAATGAAGAATAACCTTGGAATAAGCTTACATATATATAAAACAGAAATTTTTAAATAGATCAATTGCCATAAGGAAGCATTACATATTTACGTCAGTGAATCAGGCGTTTGTGTTTATCTTCACTGTATATTCTAGAATATGTCCAGTTTTCTAATGATTAGTGTAAATGAAGAATAACCTTGGAATAAGCTTACATATATATAAAACAGAAATTTTTAAATAGATCAATTGCCATAAGGAAGCATTATATATATTTCTGCTTAGAATTTTTAACCTAACTAATTATGCCTTTTTAAAAATTAGAAAGGTACACTCAGAAAAAAGTTTTGTTGATATGTGACCAACAAAAAACTTTTCGTTGTCCTAACCAAAATTTGGTTATGCTAATGAAATTTTGGTTAGGACAACGAAAAGTTTTTTGTTGGTCACATATCAACAAAATTTTTTTCTGAGTGTACGTTATTTAACTTGTATGGTATTGGACTTGCATTTTTTTATTGTTTATCAAAACGTTAGAGAGAAGTCTTTGAGAGCCAACACAGGTTGTAGGTGTGTAATTAAATATACTTTACTAAAAAAGATAAATATACGTTCCGATCCGAATTTAAATCCTCTTCAGTATAAACTAAATATTCACAGAAAAAAATAATCATATACATCACTTGGTACCATAAACCCACATTTTGAAGCAGATTTTAAAATTTTTTTTCCACCCATCCGACGTTCCAAAAAAAAGGTTTAATTTTTAGTTTGGTGGAGAGAGTTCTTTTGCTGTCGGATCCCGTTTTTCAAGATGGTTGCTTTTGCCTACAAATCGATTGCCTACAGTACCTTTTGCCTACATCACTTTTGCCTACAGTTCGATTGTCTACATGTATTATTGCCTACAGCTCGATTGCCTAAATGCGCTTTTGGGCACAAATAAAAATTTTAGAACGGGGTTACTTTTGCCTACATGTACTATTGCCTACATGTACTATTGCCTACAGTTCGATTGCCTACAGCTCGATTGCCTACATGCGCTTTTGCGCACAAATAAAAATTTTAGAAACGGAGTTACTTTTGCCTACATGTACTATTGCCTACATGTACTATTGCCTACATGTACTATTGCCTCCAGTTCGATTGCCTACAGCTCGATTGCCTACATGCGCTTTTGCGCACAAATAAAAATTTTAGAAACGGAGTTACATTTGTCTACATGTATTATTAACTACAAATATTATTGCCTATAGATCGTTTTCCTACGCGGGCACTTTTGCACAAACATAAAATAATGGTTAAGAGTAAAAAAAATAATTTGCATTTTGAAAGCAGAAATTTGTGTTTTAAAGCAGAGAATTTGTTTTAAAATAAAGAACTTGTGTTTCTAAAGCAGAAAATTTGTGTTTTAAAACAGAATTTATGTTTTTAAAGTAGAGAATATTACATGTAGGCAATCGAGCTGTATTAGGCAATAATATATGTAGATAATCGAGCTGTAGGCAATAATGTATATAAGCAATCGATCTGTAGGTAATACATGTAAACAAATGTGATATTTCGTCTCTGAAAATTTTGTGTGCGCAAAAGTGCTTGTAGGCAATAATACATGTAGGCAATCGAGCTGTAGGCAATCGAGCTGTAGGCAATCGAGCTGTATTAGGCAATAATATATGTAGATAATCGAGCTGTAGGCAATAGTACATGTAGGCAAAAGTAACCCCGTTTCTAAAATTTTTATTTGTGTGCAAAAGTGCATGTAGGCAACCGAGCTGTAGGCAATCGAGCTGTATTAGGCAATAATATATGTAGATAATCGAGCTGTAGGCAATAGTACATGTAGGCAAAAGTAACCCCGTTTCTAAAATTTTTATTTGTGTGCAAAAGTGCATGTAGGCAACCGAGCTGTAGGCAATCGAGCTGTATTAGGCAATAATACATGGTAGGCAAAAGTGATGTAGGCAAAAGGTACTGTAGGCAATCGATTTGTAGGCAAACGGGATCCCCCCCCCGTTTTTCATGCTAAAAATATAACTCATTATTTTGATAGAAAACGATTTTCAGCTGAAGTTTATTTTTGATACTATTAATAATAGAATCAAAGATATCACTCGGAAAAACTTAACTCGAACTAACAACTTAGAGAATAAAAAAGAATCAATTAGTCCATTTTGGTTTACCGTTTTTTTGTATCGAATTTAATAGAAAGATTTAAACAATTTAATAGAAGTGATATTAAGGTCTCTTATTATAGTTCAAACAAATTACAGAAATATATTAAAGTACATAAAGATTCTTTGGACTCTTTCTCGTAGTCTAATGCTGTCTATAAGATAATTTGTAATGACTGTGATGCCCGTGGGACAAACGGGAAGGAAGTTGAAAACACGGATTTCAGAACATCAAAATCACATACGATGGAACACTAGCTCTAAATCGGTAATAACAGACCATCGATTGCAATTGGGGCATGACTATGATTGGAACAATATTCAAATCTTGGATGACGAACCGGTTTACAATAAATGCCTTGTCTTAGAAATACTTAACATTAAAAAACAGAGAAACAGTCTTAACCTACAGATAGACACAGAAGGTCTTCATAAATCATATATTCCGATTATAAACAATGTTCAACTTTGTATTGCCAAGATTTATTACACTACAGTTAAATCCATCGATAACGTTTCTTTACGCGACGGACGGTTTTCTTTATTTTATACATTGGACGTTATACACTTACAATTGTGATACTAATTTTTACTTCTTTTGATATTAAATTTTAACGGTTATTTCAACATTAACATGGATTTTCTCAATTGTTGGACTCAATGGTGAACTTTTTACCAGAGAGACGTATTATGTTTGTTCTAATTTTAGTTTTGATAACTTATAACGTTTTTATGTTTTTATGTTCTTGAAAATGGATCAACCAATCGCTTGACGAACAATTTTCCGTGTCTCTGACTTAACATTCATCTAACTATAAGTAACAAAACTGTCGCTTTCTTAATCTTGGAATATTAATTTTTACTGCGCATAAAAATTTCTTTGTACATCTGAAAAGGACCTAAATATAAGGTCGAAACGTGCATTGTTTTTTGTATTGTATTCTGTAGCGTTTTAATTTTCGTATTTTCTCAGTTATTGTTTTTATATCTATTTTTAATTATACTTATGTTAAACAAATAATGGAGACCTTTTATGTTTTTTTATTCTTATTAACCTTTTATATCACGTTGTCGTATTTTTCATAAACATCACGTCACGAATATCGGAGTAACAATCGTCAAGAGTATTGCTGTAGAGCATTTAAAAATTTCTAATTAAAACAACGTTTTAATCAGGATAGTGAATATGCAATTTTTACAATTTAATCGTGGTAGCGCAGTTAACACCGAATGATATAACTAGTATTGTAAATATTTATTTATCTTTATAATAAACATTAAAAAATAAAATTTCAACGTTCATGTAAAAAAAATTTGCTAACATTGGTTTAATTTTGAACATTTAGAGTACAAGAATACTTACAAGTGCGAAAGCACACTTGTAAATATTTTTGTACTCTAAAAATTACACACGAACTAATTAAATATCAAAACATTTAACATGAATATTTTTATCTCTTTAATATACTTCTTTAATTAATATATTTTAATTTAATTTTATTACCTATATAAATGCATTAGAAGACCCAGCAAGAAATAAGTGAAATTGAAAATAAGAAGAACAACCTCCGATAACCTTGATCTTGATAAATGTTATCTAGGTCATGATCCTGAACAATATTCAAGAGGTTTTAGTCATAGATTAGATACCTTAAGTAATGCTAATGCCGGTGATATTGTAACTTTCAAGCCCTATAATCCAAAAAGTATTTAAAGAAGAAGTACACTTTATCAAAATGTTTTGGAAAGATCTCGAGATGAGCTACAAGAATATTCAATGAAAAATGAAAATTCTTTTTTCAGAAAATTTCCGAAAGAAGAACCATTTTCTGCGGATTTTTTAAATTCCTTTCTTAATAATAGAAAAATTCATTGGAAAAAGCATGTATAGAACCTGCTATATACAGTCGAATCTCTATAAAACTAACTTGTCGAGACCGACCAACCTCCGTAAAAGCAAACAAATGCGCGTGTGTGTGAGCATATGTGCTCAATTACTATATGGGAGGTTAAGACATGATTTTTACGGGGGTTAACTTTACGGAAATCCGACTGTATTTGCTTCTTTCCATAAAAAATAATTTTGGTTACCTTCTTACAATTTTATAAAAGGTTTTTTCAAAGTATACTTTTTAAATATGAAAACAAGATCAGATTAAATGAAAAATTTACTGTTGTAACATTTTTTAAAATAATAACAGTAATAAAATTTGTGTAAAAATTACATACACAAAAAAGTTAAGAAAAACGATTTTAAAATGCTAAAAATTGTAAAATGTTGTCAACTGTAAATAAAGGAACTTTATTTTCGTTACATTTACGGAGGATCCCGTTTGCCTACAAATCGATTGCTTACATAACTTTTACCGACAGTTCGTTTGTGCACAAAAATTATTGCCTACAGCTCGATTGCCTACATGTACTTTTACCCACAAATAAAAATTTTAGAAACGTAGATATATTTTCCTACATGTACTATTGCCTACATGTATTATTGCCTACAAGCACTTTTGCGCACACAAAATTTTCAGAGAAGAAATATCACATTTGTTTACATGTATTACCTACAGATCGATTGCCTATATACATTATTGCCTACAGCTCGATTGTCTACATGTATTATTGCCTAAACAGCTCGATTGCCTACATGTACTATTCTCTGCTTTAAAAACATAAATTCTGTTTTGAAACACAAATTTTCTACTTTAGAAACACAAGTTCTTTATTTTAAAACAAATTCTCTGCTTTAAAACACAAATTTCTGCTTTCAAAATGCAAATTATTTTTTTTACTTAACTTAACCTTAATTTTATGTTTGTGCAAAAGTGCCCGCGTAGGAAAACGATCTATAGGCAATAATATTTGTAGTTAATAATACATGTAGACAAATGTAACTCCGTTTCTAAAATTTTTATTTGTGCGCAAAAGTGCATGTAAGCAATCGAGCTGTAGGCAATAATTTTTGTGTACAAACGAACTGTCGACAAAAGTGACGTAGGCAAATGATACTGTTGGCAATCGATTTGTAGGCAAAAGGAGCCATCTTTTTTTTATTTACATTAAGTAAAAATTGATATTCTATTATATCATCGTTTAAATATCCTCTTAAAGGCAGCAGTACAGAATTAGCAATCTGTCTTCCTCAATTATTAGATCGTTATTTCTTGACTTCGGACCACTTTCAACAATCACGCAAATCGTATGTTATCATTTAAATGTATCTTCGTTTATCATTGTTGTGGCTACGAAAGAATAAAGTTTTACCATAAGAAGTCTGGATACAAAAAAATAGAACGGAATCATTTTTGTTAGCCCCTACTTTGCTTCATTTCTGTTGTTTATTCCGTTGTTATTTCTTTCTTGGGAAGCACTCTTTTAAATTATTCTTAAGACGATCTTAAATATAAATAAAGATTAAATATGTTAGCATTATATCATAAATAAGTTCAAATATAAAAAGTAACAACAAAAATAACTGTAAAATTCGTTACTATTAACGAAAAAATGTAACTTTGTTACAGTTATAGATGCCAAAAAAAATGAAGTAACGTATTACCAGATCGTTACCAAAGAAAAGTAACTCATAACGGCGTTACAAGTAACTTCTATTCCCTGCATACGTGTATATAAAAATTAATTTCAATCATGTAGCATACATAGATTTCTTCTTGATTGAGCGTTCTTTTTCTTAGCAAATTTAATTTCACGTTTAATTAATCTCTTAATTTAATAATGTTCCAAAGAGAATATAAGAAAATCTTATTATACCTATGCAATTAATTTATATAAAAATTTTTAATAAAACTTTATTGTATAATTTTTAATTAATTTGTGTGAAATTTTTTTAGTTGAAAAATATTTACAACAAAATAAAAAACACAAATATACAGCATAACTGTATTTACCTTTATTAAAATCTTTTATATAATTTTATTATTTCTATAAGTTAGAGCATTATAGAACTTTTCAGAATCGAACAACGTACAATGTAATTTCTAGCTGCTAGTAACAGATGTGTACGAAGATTAAAGGTGAGGTCAGGGATCATGTAAAAGCGTATCATGCAGATGTGAGAATATAAACGATAAATTACTAATACTCGAAATGCAGTTAACATCTAACAATATTATTAGTAAATTTTTATTTATAATTTCATCAGTTATTCAACAATTTTGTGAAAGATGAACACGCATTTTATAAAAAATTTGTTAAGAACGAATTTTTAGTATTTGATGTCGTTGTTTTAAATATGGAGGACAAAAATGATTTTCGGCACATCATGCTGTTTTATTTACACAGAGATAAAAATGTTCGAATTTATAAAAAGTTTTCTGCTGTGTACGAAGATGACACTGTGAGTGACTAAACTATTTGCTATACCTGTGTAGAAATTTGTTAGGGATGGCATTATGTAACATATTTCTGATGAGGCCCTTATCGGGATTTGATAGGGATGTATTAATTTTATAAATACTTATTTATTAGGGCTAACTTATAAGAGCCTGGAAAAGATTTATTAGGGATGCCATAAGTAAGGCTTCCTTATTTATATCTGATAAGGCCCTTATCGGGATTTGATAGGGATGTATTAATTTTATAAATACTTATTTATTAGGGCTAACTTATAGGTGCCTGGAAAGGATTTATTAGGGATGCCATATTAGTATGTTATTCTCCAGACAAAAATAAGCGACACGTATTTTTTTATATGTGCCTATTCGCAATTTTAAAGGATAAAATACTCCTTGGAAAAAATTAATTTTTCTCTTTCGAAGCAAATATCGTCAGAACTGTAAGAGATAGAAAAAAATTTTCTAAAAGAGAAAAATCAAATTTTTTTCTAAAGGGTGTTTCACCCCCTAAAAGTATGGGCACGTACAAAAAAATACTGACTGGATGTTCAGTTAAATTGTACAAATTTCTATCAGGATTATATTGACAGATATATCACAACTATACGTTCATCAACATTCAGTGTTCATGGATCATCGAAGTAGCAGTTTCTGTACGATTACAGAAGTCAAGCAACGCGAATGGTGGTGGTTCGCATTCGGATGGGTGACCGTTTCAAATTAACATAAAATCAATTCCCGTAATATTTCCTCATAAGGCCCTGATAATTTTTTCTCACAGGGCCCTGGTAAATTTTTTTTACACGGCCCTGATAGTTTTTCCTTATAGAGCCTTGATAATTTTTCCTTATAGGGCCCTAATAATTTTTCCTTACAAGGCTCTGATTTCCTTATAGGGCTCTGATAATTTTTCCTTATAGGGGCCTGGTAAACAATTTGTTACATGCCATGTAGGGCCCAAGCCCTAATAGGGCCCCGATAAATTTTAGGGTATATTTATAAGGCCCTTTTTTAAGCCCTAACAATTTTCTACACGGGTAGTGGTTCCGATATTTCCAATGTGAATTCAACTGCTAATTTGCTACTCTCTCGACAGCAAATTGAGAACGGCATTATAAAATTGCTCGTAAGATTGATTAAAATTGTGCAAAACGGTGAATACATTACTGATTAGAGATATTTTAAAATATAAATATTTTGTTTTTGAGTTTTACTTAAAAAACAGTGGGGAGTTATTGGTTAACTTAATTCGTATATTTTCTGAAATGTGTGTTCACGTGCTTATGTCTTAATTTATTATTTATTCTTAACATTTATATTATACAAATTTATCTAATACATATAACAACAATTTATCTTTACATATGTATTTTATTTAAATTCTGGACTAGTCTTTTAGTAACAGACACTTTAAAAATGTTTGATGAACAAGTTGAATTTGGCACAAATGGTACATTAACCTAAGAGGCGATTTATGATAGGTTGCAAATATTTGATTGTCAATCCCAATTCTTTACGACAGCCAATCAGAAGCACCACCAATTACTATTGACGTTTCTGATCGGCTATTGCAAGGCATTGTACTTGGCGACAGTATATTTTGTAACTTATTGTAGAAAAAATAAAAGAAAAAATGAAAGATGTAAAGTTCTGTTTATAATTTTATATTTGTTTAATTATATAACATCTACTGTTAAAGTAACTGTAATTAATTTGCAATCAAGATATCGCATTGAAGGTATTGTTAAACGACAATGATACAAGAATTATGTTTGTACAAAATTAGTGTGAGCTTATAATCGTCAATATATTTTTATTATGATAAACGACATGTATGAAAATTAATTAAAAATTTTTGTATAATTTGATGTGTAAAATGTAAATCAGGCATAGTACATTGATATGAACATATAATTATTATACATTGCTATGTAGATACATTCGCATACCAACAGCTATGTAAGTAAAAGAAATGAAATTAATAAAAATTTAATTATTTTAATTGTTTATATTTTAAAAAAGAAAAACAAAAATGCAGAATTGTATGAAAACAATTTTCAATATCTTTATATAGTCATATATGTTCCTATTATTGCAACTTTAATAATTTAGATAAATGTAAAAGTTAAGTTAAAAAGTATTTATATTTTAAATTCTATTTTATTAATTTACGCGATTTTCTGTTTATTTCTACATCATAAAAATTTTTAAAAATTTGTAATTTTGCTCGATTAAGTTGTTTTTCTCAAGGAAAAGTCGGTATTTTATTTGAATTAAAATTTATTTTATGCATTAACGTTCCAAATGAAAGAAAATCATAATATACTTATACATATATCTACTTATTGAAAATGCTGTGCAATGTAAATTTTAACATGTTAATTATATTTCGGTTATTTTTGTATTTACTATTTTGCGGATTCATTATACCCATAATCATGCATATGCTCAGATAAAACACATACGCAAAGAAGGAACGCTTTTTCGCATTTTTCTGTAAGGTCTTTTGCTGGAATAAAAGAAAAATAAAATTAGTATAAGAGTAAGAAAAAGAGTAAAATAAATATGTTTCTCTCTTTCGTCACTTTTATTGTAATGTTAAAATAGCTAGTTGAATGCATTAAAACTTATTAATAATTAATATTGTAAACAGTTTCACGGAACATGATTATATATTTATTGAGATCTAAATTACCTTACATAACATGATTATAATATGTATACCATGATTATAATGTGTACTTACTTTTGTTTATGCAATTTTCCATCCTTTCAAATTTTTTATCTCCAGGTTGAATATTTGTTCTCTCGATGAATACGGTATGTATCTTTTCTACCTTATATTCTGCGTCTTCCATCTAGTTTACAAGGGAAGTTTATAAAATATTAATTAATAATTTCTTTATACATTAAATTGTTTTTAAAATGCGTATATTACGTTTCTTATATTATTTTTTAAATTGGATAACGTGACAATATATAAAATCATTAAATTATCAATAAAATTCATAATACAGAAATTAATATTAAAATAAATTTTTTAAATTTTAAATAGGGAGATTTAAATAAAAGTCGTTATGACATAAATTACATTTTAAAGTTTATAATATTTTATTATTTTAATGATTCCAAGCTTAGATGTTTTTTACGAAAATAATAAAAAACTACTTACCATTTCATCTTTTTGAAACATACATTGTACGACACAACCATTCTTATTTAATTTTTCTTGATTTTCGGATTTGTATCGATCATGTAGGATGTCTTGTACTGTTATCATGTCATCTAGAAATTAATTTTTAAAAAATATAAATTTTGTATCTATGTAAAGAATTACAAAATTTTGTTCATATTCTAAAAAATATTATAAATGTGCAAATGTGTTTAAAACCTTTTTTATGTGTATTTGCGATAAAATTGTCTTTTTCTAAGTATTTAAAATATCATGTATCATCTCTTTTATGTATTAAAGTATTATATATATTATGTTATTAAGTATTAAAGTTCTCCTAGTTTTTGGAAAATATTTAAAATGACAGTATATTTATTTGAAATAAGGCTGTAAAGTACACAAATTATTAATTAAAATATTAATTAAAATAAATCATTTCCTTAATTTTTTTGTTTTAAATAGTCTTTAATAACTCTTATTTTATAAAATATTAATATTTTTATATTCAAGGCGTTAACAAAGTTTACTTAATGTTACAAAAATAGATTTCCAGTGCAGTGGCCGAGGGGGTAACCACTAGCTGAAATATTGTCCCACAGACTACATGATTTCATTTGATTACAAATAATTTTTTTCACTACTATGAAGTAATTTGGTAAAATATACGATTTTATTTAATATTATACAATGATTTTTCGTGGTTGCATATGTAATTATCGGATTATACATAGAGATTTTATATAAATTTTATAATGATTTCGAGGATTCTGTCCCACGATTACATTAAGTGGTTATCCCCTCGGCAGTGACACTATATTGACCGTTAATAAACGTGAAGAAGAAAACAAAAATTTTATGTAGTTTTAATTCACTGAAATATTCGATAAAATACCGTTGGTGTTAGCGTTATTTTACAAAAACGGAGAGATTTCATGGTATGATTTAAGTTGTGATTCACGTATGCGCGCGTGGGCACGCGTGTGCGTGTGTGAACACGCTCAGACTTACCCTCCGATACATTAGTTTCAGTTAGGCAGGTATTGTAATGCTTATTGGCGGATCCTAATTTCTTTGAGTCAACAGTAAAAGACTAAAATATATAAAATTTTATTTTTAATTAATTTTTTCTTGTTATGTCGATTAAGCTGTTTCTATATGCAGTACACACGCGTATATATATATGTTATTATCCCAGGAAACCACCCATGTAACTTAACTATAGATATAATATTACATTAGTGTCAGAATGTTACATGCAATATTATTATTTGTAACGATTAACATTATGTATTGGTACTGCTTTATGTCACCAACTTTAAACATATTATTTTTATATCAGGAATATGTCAATAACATATTACTATAATATATATAAACGTCTTTTTTTTACATATTTCTATATGTATATACAAAATAGGTACAACAATGATAATAATTTACGCTATAGATAGTAAAAAGTGCTTGAAAAGAATGTTTGCGTTATGTATGTGACACTCAATTTGGAATTGATTGTGATTAATCTATAGAATTGCGTTTATAGAGACATTATTAGTGCTGTTTGTGTCATTCCATTTATATTGTCTATTAGATGTAAAACAAGGACAATGTGACACAAAAATGTTAATAGCATCTCCTCCGACTGCTGGATAAATTCAATGTATCTATAATATTTATGCATTTTGTACGTATCAATCGTATAATGTTAGGTGAATTGATGAAAGATTACAGTTATTGTGTTTATGTTATGTATTTTGAGTTACGTGTGTGTAGATTACATTTGTAAATGTCATGATTATACATATATTATATTGAAGAAATATATCTATGTTCTTCTAAAGTACCCTCAAATTTATGTGACACATATCGTCTCTATAATAAAATATATTATTGTTCTTTCTATGTGCTCCCTAAGTTATATTATAATTACGTTTTGTATATAAGTATCTGCGATGTGTTAATTACATACATATTTGTAACAAAAATATAATAGTTATAATTTATTTATAATTACGTTGTAAGGGACTTTTTTTATGTCTCTAGAAAAATTTTTAACCTTCTATTTATATTTAATGTTTATGACAAAAAATACTTACGACGAACACAAAAGTGCAAACATAAAATAATATTTTCTTCATTTTTGATGTAGTTAGTCCACGCTACCTCTAAATGTCGTACTATAGTGTTCTGAAGCCTACTAGCATCGTATTTATATCGTCTGTAATTATGGTGGTATCAGAAAGGTGAAGCATTGCGCATGATGGAGCAAGGAGGAGGCGAATTTTGACCAACCAAACGCTATCTACACGGACAGAAATCTGTTACGATTT